AAATTTCAGCAGACACCCCCTCCTCAACATCCATACCAAAATGTTTCATCATTCTCCTTGCTTATTTCAGCCGGGACAGCTGCCAAACATTACCTATTCCCCTCCAAATATTGCCAATTACCCATAATTCATTCACTTACTATTCCTCTCCCTCCTCCCCGTCAAACCTGCTTCCCAAAACCATCTAAAAGCACAAAAACAAGTGTCATGGATGCTAACCATGTACCTGATATCATATGATATCAATCCATGGTTAATTTAGTTAACTGCTTCCCAACGCGCATAAAAGATATATGAAATAGATGGCATAGAATCCTTACGTGAAACCAGTTGCCTTATTTTAACCACATCAAATGAATGGCTGAAGTAAATTAATGTTCAAAATCTTTCCAATTCTTAGATCAAGAATTTGTTAAAACGGAAGATCCAAGAAAGATTAATTCTAACATCCAATAAAATACTGTCATTAAATGATGAGTTTGTTCCAACAAGCCGTTTTGTAAGGAGCCGTTCTCACGCTTCTTAACTAGACACAAGAAAAGTTACATACACAATAAGCTTGATCCTGCATGCCATCATTTTTTTTTCTTGTTAAGAACCAACACCACCAACTTTGTAAACTAATTAGAAAACTTTTGTCTTCTTCCCAAGAATTATGACCAACTTAATAGGATAAAAATACTCTAAAGATGATCTTGTAATGTTATTCAGCGCCAAAGAAAACTTGATAAAATGAAGTAAGTAAACTAATTAGAAAACTTTTGTCTTCTTCCCAAGAATTATGACCAACTTAATAGGATAAAAATACTCTAAAGATGATCTTGTAATGTTATTCAGCGCCAAAGAAAACTTGATAAAATGAAGTAACCTTAACTTTTCTAATGACTGCGGCCATTAATTGACTTCAATAAATTAGAGTCAATAAGCACAATTTAACTATTTAAAAAAGAAAAATCAACCTCTAAGATCAGAAACAGCTAAAGGTTAAGAACATTTTGCGTAAGAATGAAAAAAAAAAAAACCTTGGCTCAAGTGAGCTCAGCATATGGTCTAACAAACCAGTTTCATGTAGTCGTGAAGGAAAAGCCCAAAATTCAAAATTTTTAGACTCAGCAGACTTTAAAGCGAGGATAGAAGACTATCTTTGATAGTTCTTTCTCCCATTTTGAGAATGGTGCCAGTACCACCCCTCTTTCTTTAAGCATTTCCTAAGATTTTAGAGAATAAAAATAAAAATGAACCAGCCATAAAAAAACTGCATATTATGATAAAATAATTAATAAACAGAAAAAGCAAGGAGCATTGCAAAAATTTAGAGCATTTAGCCAAGATATTTCTGAAACAAACAAACCCAAATAAGCTGAAATAAAAAACAATTTGGTGGCAATATGAGTAAATAATAAAACAACGAAAAAACAAGAGCATTGTAAAAATCTTGAGCATCTAGCCAATATATTCGCTCTACAAACTAAATATAAAAGCCAGATGTTTCTGAAATAAACAATGGCCAAATCAGCTGAAATAAAAAATAATTAAGTAGCAATATGGGTCAATTCTTCCTGTCATCAAATCCAGTTAAAAGGGAAAAGGCTTCGAAGGAAAAGAAAGTTAGGCAGGAAGTAGGTTGAAATCTCTTTACTCTTACCATGAGCCTAGTGCTAGTCTATGCCAATCTCTTGTTAATCATTTCAAATGAATTTTAGCAAAGGACAAAGAGAGGAAGCAATTTAAAGGACTGAAAAAAAAAAGGACATGTTGGGATTAAATATGAGATATAGTAACATTTCCCTCCACAGCAAGCACTGTGTTTTTGTTCAGCTCTCTTCTTAGAGATCATGTAAAAAGAACTCAAAATATATAAAAACATAAAAAGAAATGAATTAAATTACTGCGACAACAGAAAAATATACAGTTAGGATATACCAAAACCAAAGACATTGAACTGAATAATGCACTTCTCCTTCGTTGGCCCACCTTTTTCCTCATCTATATCAGATGAGAAATCTGACATATTTCCATATACATTAGATCTCTAATTCTGTCTTTACTATTTGCAGGTTGTTGCCCCTTTAACTCTTGAAACATTTAAATCAGATGAGGTTTGAAGAGGTTCTAACATATTTGGGGTAGCAGAAACCTGCAGTATCTTCTTTATTAAATACAATGTTGATTCAGAAAGTTGTCTGCTTGGAGTTCTCAGGGTCCTAGACTCACGAGCACCAGTTTTGCAGAGTAGGAGCATTCAGAGTGCTAGGTATAGTCCCCTTATCTGAGGTAATGTTAGCATTTTCCTTTTTTGAAGAGTTTACTACCACCTTTTTTTTCTCATTTCCAAAACTTCGGAAAGAATTTGCCAGCAACTAATCGATATTTAGAGGTTATCGCTGTTAGAGATGCAAGAAAGAGAGAAAAAAAGATGGAAAAGGGACTGACAAAAAAAAAAGGACATGTTGGGATTAAATATGAGATCTGAAAAAAAAAAGGACATGTTGGGATTAAATATGAGATATAGTAACATTTCCCTCCACAGCAAGCACTGTGTTTTTGTTCAGCTCTCTTCTTAGAGATCATGTAAAAAGAACTGAAAATATATAAAAACATAAAAAGAAATGAATTAAATTACTGCGACAACAGAAAAATATACAGTTAGGATATACCAAAACCAAAGACATTGAACTGAATAATGCACTTCTCCTTCGTTGGCCCACCTTTTTCCTCATCTATATCAGATGAGAAATCTGACATATTTCCATATACATTAGATCTCTAATTCTGTCTTTACTATTTGCAGGTTGTTGCCCCTTTAACTCTTGAAACATTTAAATCAGATGAGGTTTGAAGAGGTTCTAACATATTTGGGGTAGCAGAAACCTGCAGTATCTTCTTTATTAAATACAATGTTGATTCAGAAAGTTGTCTGCTTGGAGTTCTCAGGGTCCTAGACTCACGAGCACCAGTTTTGCAGAGTAGGAGCATTCAGAGTGCTAGGTATAGTCCCCTTATCTGAGGTAATGTTAGCATTTTCCTTTTTTGAAGAGTTTACTACCACCTTTTTTTTCTCATTTCCAAAACTTCGGAAAGAATTTGCCAGCAACTAATCGATATTTAGAGGTTATCGCTGTTAGAGATGCAAGAAAGAGAGAAAAAAAGATGGAAAAGGAGTTAAACATATTCACATGTTCATATAAGTGAGACAGCATGTAAAACGCTCAGAGCATTCGTTAGTGATAGAGTAAAAACCTTTAGACAGCTCGTCAGCGACAATTTGAAAACTACAATCAAATCCATTTTTTTAATTTTAAGCAAGTTCCAAAGAATGGAAACAGTGTCATTTTAGACCTTTGTCTTGGAAAAGTACAAAAAGAAATGTATTAATTCTACTCGGACTAAAAATTTCCCTACCATATTTTCCTATGAAAGCGTAGCTTGTTAAATATCATACCGCCCTATTTATTTCAAAAAATGTGGTTAATTAAGTCTATACTAAGACTAACACCTTGCATAAGATGGTAGAGTTCATAGTTGTAAGATATGGCTCTCTTGCTGGAAGAGATTTAGGCTAATGTTAGGTAGTTCTACGCTTCTACACATGAGATTAATCTTTAAAATTAACAAGATAAATGAGTTAAACATTTACTCAAGAAAGAAAACGAGCTCTAAAAAGAACAGAATACTATATACCAGTAGATGGTCAAAGGGTAAGTTCAAGCATATCAGAAACTCAACCATATTTAACAGAAAATTAAAATAGGTCAATTAAAGCATTTCAAGTTCTAATTGAACAGAAGAGAAAGTTAGATGATACAAAAAAATTTATGCATATTCTTATAAACTTTAGAAGAAAGGCTACGTGTTGGCCCTACAAATCACTTGCCTGCAAAGCAAAAGCTAGTAGCAAAGCAACTCATTAACCCGGTGCATCACTTGCCTACGAAACACAAGCTCAAAACAAATTGCATGTGTCATGTTGCTTTGCCGCTTTATGTCATAACATTGAGAACTTTGCTATAGCATATAACAAAATCTAAGTTCAGATTCCATGGTTTGATTCAGTATTTGAAGTAATAAATGGGTACAAACAATCTCCTCTCATAAATTATCATACTCATTAATTCATTACTCGCATGTTCTCTAATCTCTCATCAAAGCTAGTAACTTCTCGATGATTCCTCCAACACACACTCTCACTAGCAGGTTTACTTTAAATTTCTCATTAATTCTTATCGTTGATATGAGTAGTGTCTGTCTTTCATTCACAAGTTTCTTCTTGAGATGTTTCTCGATTTATTATTTGTCTGATTCTCTGCCTCGTCTTCACACTCTCTTACTAATACTGCCTTCATCTCTCAATCTCCAGTCCATCTCACAATCTCATGAGTATTATAATTAACTACTATTTCACCACTTCATTATTTATATCATTGACCTTTTTTTTACTTAGAATAGCTACAAATTATTGTTATTGAATGTATCACTATACTTGCAAAAAAATTACTACTTGAGATGATTGAAGCCGGATTAACTAACACTTGTATATACATAATGTGTATATATATTATGAGTTTGGTTTGATTAATGAGTGCTCTAGTTAGAAAAAAAAAACTATGGCTCTCCTGCTGGAAGAGATTTAGACTAATGTTAGGTAGTTCTACGCTTCTACACATGAAATCTTTAAAATTAACTAGATAAATGAGTTAAACATTTACTCAAGAAAGAAAACGAGCTCTAAAAAGAACAGAATACTATATACCAGTAGATGGTCAAAGGGTAAGTTCAAGCATATCAGAAACTCAACCATACTTAACAGAAAATTAAATAGGTCAATTAAAGCATTTCAAGTTCTAATTGAACAGGAAAGAAAGTCAGATGATACAAAAAAATTTATGCATATCTATGCCAATCTCTTGTTAATCATTTCAAATGAATTTTAGCAAAGGACAAAGAGAGGAAGCAATTTAAAGGACTGAAAAAAAAAAGGACATGTTGGGATTAAATATGAGATATAGTAACATTTCCCTCCACAGCAAGCACTGTGTTTTTGTTCGGCTCTCTTCTTAGAGATCATGTAAAAAGAACTGAAAATATATAAAAACATAAAAAGAAATGAACTAAATGACTGCGACAACAGAAAAATATACAGTTAGGATATAGCAAAACCAAAGACCTTGAACTGAATAATGCACTGCCCGCCTTCTTCCTCATCTATATCAGATGAGAAATCTGACATATTTCCATATACATTAGATCTCTAATTCTGTCTTTACTATTCGCAGGTTGTTGCCCCTTTAACTCTTGAAACATTTAAATCAGATGAGGTTTGAAGAGGTTCTAACATATTTGGGGTAGCAGAAACCTGCAGTTTCTTCTTTATTAAATACAATGTTGATTCAGAAAGTTGTCTGCTTGGAGTTCTCAGGGTCCTAGACTCACGAGCACCAGTTTTGCAGAGTAGGAGCATTCAGAGTGCTAGGTATAGTCCCCTTATCTGAGGTAATGTTAGCATTTTCCTTTTTTGAAGAGTTTACTACCACCTTTTTTTTCTCATTTCCAAAACTTCGGAAAGAATTTGCCAGCAAGTAATCGATATTTAGAGGTTATCGCTGTTAGAGATGCAAGAAAGAGAGAAAAAAAGATGGAAAAGGAGTTAAACATATTCACATGTTCATATAAGTGAGACAGCATGTAAAAAGCTCAGAGCATTCATTAGTGATAGAGTAAAAACCTTTAGACAGCTTGTCAGCGACAATTCGAAAACTACAATCAAATCCATTTTTTTAATTTTAAGCAAGTTCCAAAGAATGGAAACAGTGTCATTTTAGACCTTTGTCTTGGAAAAGTACAAAAAGAAATGTATTAATTCTACTCGGACTAAAAATTTCCCTACCATATTTTCCTATGAAAGCGTAGCTTTTTAAATATCATACCGCCCTATTTATTTCAAAAAATGTGGTTAATTAAGTCTATACTAAGACTAACACCTTGCATAAGATGGTAGAGTTCATAGTTGTAAGTATGGCTCTCCTGCTGGAAGAGATTTAGACTAATGTTAGGTAGTTCTACGCTTCTACACATGAAATCTTTAAAATTAACTAGATAAATGAGTTAAACATTTACTCAAGAAAGAAAACGAGCTCTAAAAAGAACAGAATACTATATACCAGTAGATGGTCAAAGGGTAAGTTCAAGCATATCAGAAACTCAACCATACTTAACAGAAAATTAAATAGGTCAATTAAAGCATTTCAAGTTCTAATTGAACAGGAAAAAAAGTCAGATGATACAAAAAAATTTATGCATATTCTTATTGTTGTGAGATATGTACTTCCTGGCATAGAAATGAGACGAAAAAGAACACAAGCAAACACAGATCGTTTACGTGGTTCGATCCAACTGGATCTACGTCCACGGGAGGGAATCAATCAAATATTTCACTAAGGCAAAAGAAATGGAGAATACATAGCTTATACATAGAGATGAGGCCCTATTTATTTCAAAAAATGTGGTTAATTAAGTCTATACTAAGACTAACACCTTGCATAAGATGGTAGAGTTCATAGTTGTAAGATATGGCTCTCTTGCTGGAAGAGATTTAGGCTAATGTTAGGTAGTTCTACGCTTCTACACATGAGATTAATCTTTAAAATTAACAAGATAAATGAGTTAAACATTTACTCAAGAAAGAAAACGAGCTCTAAAAAGAACAGAATACTATATACCAGTAGATGGTCAAAGGGTAAGTTCAAGCATATCAGAAACTCAACCATATTTAACAGAAAATTAAAATAGGTCAATTAAAGCATTTCAAGTTCTAATTGAACAGAAGAGAAAGTTAGATGATACAAAAAAATTTATGCATATTCTTATAAACTTTAGAAGAAAGGCTACGTGTTGGCCCTACAAATCACTTGCCTGCAAAGCAAAAGCTAGTAGCAAAGCAACTCATTAACCCGGTGCATCACTTGCCTACGAAACACAAGCTCAAAACAAATTGCATGTGTCATGTTGCTTTGCCGCTTTATGTCATAACATTGAGAACTTTGCTATAGCATATAACAAAATCTAAGTTCAGATTCCATGGTTTGATTCAGTATTTGAAGTAATAAATAAGGTACAAACAATCTCCTCTCATAAATTATCATACTCATTAATTCATTACTCGCAGGTTCTCTATTCTCTCATCAAAGCTAGTAACTTCTCGATGATTCCTCTCAACACACACTCTCACTAGCAGGTTTACTTTAAATTTCTCATTAATTCTTATCGTTGCTATGAGTAGTGTCTGTCTTTCATTCACAAGTTTCTTCTTGAGATGTTTCTCGATTTATTATTTGTCTGATTCTCTGCCTCGTCTTCACACTCTCTTACTAATACTGCCTTCATCTCTCAATCTCCAGTCCATCTCACAATCTCATGAGTATTATAATTAACTACTATTTCACCACTTCATTATTTATATCATTGACCTTTTTTTTACTTAGAATAGCTACAAATTATTGTTATTGAATGTATCACTATACTTGCAAAAAAATTACTACTTGAGATGATTGAAGCCGGATTAACTAACACTTGTATATACATAATGTGTATATATATTATGAGTTTGGTTTGATTAATGAGTGCTCTAGTTAGAAAAAAAAAACAACATTTCACTTTGATAGCTGAGGGAAAAAGAGCAACTATTTCTTTCATTATAGTTTCTAAAATCTGTGAATGTGCAACCACCAAAATTCAAAAGGCTTCTCGAAATGAGAATACTCGCGATCACAAGCTTGAGGAGCAGGAATCATGTTGACAAGCAAAATAAAAATGGTAACAGATAGAAGAAGCTGCTTGCTAAATGAAGCGATGACCTCAATTACATGTGGGAAAATAGTCCTACCCTAAAAAATTCCCTTTAATAGACTTCACACGGTTAGGTCAACACTTGAAGCAACCTTTAGCATACATAGAAGAAAAATCTATTAATACTTATCAGCTTTGTCAAATAATTAAGAATAAAATACAATATACTAAGGTTAGTAGAGCTAAACAACACATTACGTTTCGTATAGCATCCAAATGCTTCACAGTAGGTTAAACCAGTCTATAACCTTAAGTTGTGTAGTGTAAACTATCAAATTTAAGAGAAAAAATAATAAAAGACCTACCTTGTTCATGGTGTTATAGTAGTACTTCAAATCATTTGTCGTGACCAGTTAGTCCCAGATAATTTTTCCCTTAAAAATGTTATGCAAGAAAAAAAAATATTTTAAGAAACAAATAATAGGATGATAAAATGCAGACTTCTGCAAATAAAATAGCGTACATAAATTTTAGTAACTCCCAAAAGCTAAGACAATTGCAGTCCATAAAAAGTACATGATAATTGCCTAATACAGACATGGGAATCCAATCAAAGAAATGATCAACATAAATAACATTGAATGGACCACAAGAGTAATGTAAGGTGTATTTTTAGTATTTTTGAAGTTATTAGGATTTCAGATGTTTTAATTTATTTTATCAGTAAATTTATCTTTTATTTTTAAGAAACTTTAGGATTGAAGTTGAATTAGTAGGATAGGATTTAATATAGATAATCAATCTTATCACTCCTTAGGTGGCATTGTCAATCAGGAAAGACAGAAATCAGACAGCTAAATTAGGAGTTTTCTATAATTAGGAGCTACATTATTTAAATTATTTCCAATGTCTTTATTATGATTTGGATAGGATTTAATATAGATAATCAATCTTATCACTCCTTAGGTGGCATTGTCAATCAGGAAAGACAGAAATCAGACAGCTAAATTAGGAGTTTTCTATAATTAGGAGCTACATTATTTAAATTATTTCCAATGTCTTTATTATGATTTATTTCCCTTTTAGCAGAATATTTAGATTAGGAATATAAATTATTAAGTTACCAAAAATAAATTATGCACTTTATTTTGTACCTAAAATAGATTGTAAGATTATTATTTAATGGAATGAAAGCAAAAGGAAAAGGCATCGAGCCTATTCAGAATTCAGCATATTTTTCTTAAAACTTTGACATTGTATCAGAGCCAAAATTTTGCCCTAACCACCAGTAGTTATTGGAGGACGGTCAAGACTCCCTTCCCACTGGCCTTCTTGCAGGAAGGGAGGAACTATTTCTTCGTCTTAATTCGCTCATCTAAGGATTTTCGTCCATTGCGATCTACGATCCTGTCAATTGGTTGTCTCGTTCGCAATCCCGCAATCAGTTATCTCTACTGCGATTCAAGTCTCATCTGCAATCTGCGATCTCGTTTGTTTTGTCCGCTTCGGATCACCTTCGCTAGCCATCGCTGCTTCTGTGGCATCTTCGACTGCTTCTTACGCTTCGCTTCGTCCCCTTAAGCTTTGGCTTCGACACTCCTTCTTAGATCGATGGCTTCGGCTTTGGCAAACCATAAATCTTAGGTTTCGGTATTCACGGCTTCAACACTCTCAGGCTTCAGCACTCACTGCTTGACGTTTTTTTGTTCTGATAATGTTATCAGTTCCTTGTTCGCAAATTGATGTTTTTTCATCAGTCAGCATCAATTTGAGAGGGGATGTCAATCAGGAATGACAGAAATCAGACAGTTAAATTAGGAGTTTTCTATAATTAGGAGCTTCCTTATTTAAATTTTTTTCAATGTCTTTATTATGATTTATTTCCCTTTTAGCTAAATATTTAGATTAGGAATATGTATTATTAAGTTACCTAAAATATATTATGCTCTTTATTTTGTACCTTAAATAGATTGTAAGATTATTATTTAATGGAATGAAAGCAAAGGGAAAAGGCATCGAGCATATTCAGAAATGAGTCATATTTTCTCAAAACTTTGACAGGCATGTCAGATACATAGATAGAAAGATATATAGATGGATAGATAGATAGATGGATGGATAGATAGAAACACACACTCACACACACACACATACAGATAAACCTAATAACATAATTTTTAGAGATTCAAAAACCTCACAATGTTGCAAGTTGGTTTGGCTCAAGGCTTAAATTTGGTCCACCCAAGTTGCTTTTGCTTAAAAACAAAAGAAAAAACTGCTATGTTAACAATAGAGAGGAAAACTATAGGGTCAATTACAATTTACCCATAATCAAAAAGAGCAAACCAAAGGGAAGTTTCTATGAATATGCACGTTGAAAAAATGTTCAATAATATACAAACACGATTACATAAAGCACTTAATTCTATCTGATTTTAAGAAATCATTTAATGCTCTTATCAAGAACTTCAACCTCTAAACCTATAAATTTAGTAATAATCACTAATTGAGGCTTTTAAATAACATTTTAGACCAACTATGATCGCAATCATTTTTTTCTTTCCTTGTTCATTATGCATACCTATAATTGATACTTTATTGTTATCGTCTACAAGGAGTTTGCAATAATAAATGATTATAATGTACAAGAGTAACTTAACCTAACAGAAAACTTCACAAAATCAAATTTAGGTATAACTATAATAAAAAAAAAATAGGTATAACTATAATTATAATCATAGCGGTGATGAATGCTAAGAAAGGAAATCTTTAAATTAAAAAAAAAGAATAAGTTTCTCAAATGAGATTAGTAGTATGATGTTCACTAAAGTGCATTAAGTACATATCACGATTCACGACACTGCATTAAGTAGTATGATGTTCACTAAAGGCTTCTCTGGCTGCATAAAGAAAAGAGTGGTAAAATACAATGTGGATGGTAAAAATAACAATTTTCTCTGGCTGCATAAAGAAAAGAGAGGTAAAATACAATGTGGATGGTAAAAATAACAATTTCACCAAAAATGGCACTATTTCTTCATGTAACAAATCAAAAGTGCATTACCTCTCCATTGAATTTGAATGGCCCTTCATAAGTAGATTCTCCTGAAATAGTACTGTAATAATATAAAACGTGTCTCAGTTCTGTGCACTTTTCAAGCTTCTAATTCTTAACTTTTATTGTTACCATCCTCCTGAGAATCATTAGTCTCCTTTTCAAATGCTGCATACAAAGAATCAGAAAATAATAAACTAACGAAAATAATATACAACAAAAATCAAATCTCTCATTGCAATGTAGCATACCAGCATCATGAGGTGATGATCTTGCTCCAGTATTACTTACAGGAAGGATGACTCCAGGGAAAACGCCAAGTCATCCATCAAGAGAAGGAACAGAGGGTGGTGGGATGCCCCTCACTGAGAAAGGGCAAGGACCAGGAAGCACAGTTGGATACTGGGACAGGGTAAGACATTGTAAACCAGTAGCCTGAGAAGGCAGCAAATGAGCTGGAGGAGGTGGCATCTGGACAGGTACTGGTGGTAAATTTGGATAAATTGTTGAGGTACATTCTGTGGAGTTGGATTTGTAATAGAAGACTGACTTGAATGTGCAATTACTTGATTATGTTGAACGGATCTCATTGTTACTGGCGAAGACCCAAGCTTTGATGGTTGAACAGCTGCAGGATTAGGTGTTCTTATGCAGATTATTGCCCATAAAAGTTCCAACCATTGTGTTGAGAAATTAGGGCGAAGAAAAACAGTAATCTACACAAATCCAGAAGAACAAAAAGAAATTTAACGAGGTTCGTCAAAGATGCCTACGTCCTCGGAAGCAGAGCGGCGGCTTTTCCACTAATCCAGAAAAAAGTACAGTATACAGAATATGGGATGACACCTAGGGTTACATACAAGCTTATTTATAATCCTAGAAAACCCTAGAGTACAATATGTAATTACCAAATTACCCTTATCCCTCACCCCCAACACACATAAGGAAACTCCCCTGATTTAGACAGAATCTTCAGCTCCGCTCCAAAATCTGTCCCTCTATGGTATATGAGCCCTATCTAACACATTGGAATATGATCATTTATCAAACAACTAGTTGGTGGCAACATGCTTGACACATTAGAAACAGGAGAGATTGTCAAGCTTATGGATGAACTTGCATGCATATCACGTGAAAACTTTGGATTTAAACTAGTCGATACGGAAGTTATGCCAGAATCAAAAGGCATTGCCTTAGAGGTGCACTGCAAACATAGAAATGGAAGATCAACTTTCAGTCAAAAAAGAAAATGAGTAACAATGGATTTATAAGGAAAAAAGAATAGTATTTAAACCACATAAAATTTAAAGAAACAAAATGTGCATGGCAAGGTCTTAACAGAAGCCTACATTGTTGTTGGCCCGACCAAAGAAAATTTTTGTTGAAAGCGATAGCTGGCCCTTGGGAGGGGGAACTGACAATTGAATGGATGGTGGAAAATTCTGTGGCACGGTTGCAGAAATGGATGCATTAGGACAAATAGATTGACGGGGTACTGCAGGCTGCAAACATACAGTAGCCAATAGTGGCAAAGTTGGGACATAATTTTCAATCGACAGCGGACATTGATTATTCCCCTAACGGCAAGACATGTATATAAAAAGTTGAGACAGATGATTCCGTCAAAAGCAAATATATTCATCCATATTGAACCAAAGAAAGGTACCATATGAAGTATTAAAAGCACTTGAGAATTACAACAGCGGGTTGAAACTGCTGACCAGAAGCAGGGCTAGCATGGATAGTGTAACAACATTGTATGAAAAAGACAGTCAATTTCCTAAAGACTGCCCAAAAACTGGCAGTTGTAGAGCAGCTGGAGACATTTATGGAGTTGATAGTAAAGCCCACACAAAAAATGAAACCAAACAAATTAGTTGGAGAATGTTAAGCGCAAAATACAAAGCCTAAAAAAAATTAGCACAAGTAACAAAACTAACAGGAGAAGATGAAGTTTGTTGAGGAACCCCAGAGGTAGAGTTCGCCTAGGAAATACACTGTAAGAGAAAGAAGGTGGAGGGACAACATAGACATGTGAGGAAACGAATGTTGCCGGAACATGATCTTGTAATGAGTCACTCGCATTACCATGAATAGCCCTTTGAGTTGGTGAGCTCATGGGAGGCGATACAGTTAATGTTTCTGCCCATCCAGAATTTATATTTGAAGAGTCAGTAACAAGAACAGAAACATTACTACATGGTCCTCCCTCTGTTGATGTTGCAATGCAAGCAGGATTTGAAGCAGGCGAATTTTGTTGTGCTCCTGCAAGAGGTGACTCAGCAATTTGTGACTGAATGGAAGAAGATGGGACCTGTGCCTTCTGCACCAACAAAACTTATGAAGACATTACTTAATCTGACATAGTATTTGAGAAAACTAGATCATAAGTATATACAGTGCATACTATAAATAGGCACATTAGTTAGAAATTGATTGTGCAGGATTAAATAGAAGAAAAAATGAATATACGCAACAATTGAATTCACACAATTTTTTCCCTAAGCAACTCAAGAATATGAGCATGCACTTTTTGAAAGGCCAGGCAACTCTGTTATTTCAATGAAATGTTAGATGCCACAAATCTGAGGATATTAAAAAAAATGGGATAATAAACAAATAATGTAACTAGAAATGTTCCTTGTTTATCCGCAAAGACAACCAAAGTGGTAAAAAACAAATAAAATGACCATCTGATCGGGAAAGGCACCACGACTCATTGCAAAATCTTTGCTATACAGCTCAAAAAGATACCTTCACTCTCCCTTTTGTTGAGAATTGGACCTTATTTAGGATCCTATTCGTAAAAAAAAAGAATATTGAAGAAGTCTGCGGGTTTATTTGTAAAATGTTATAATACCCTATTTAAGCCATGTTGTAAGGATAAAATTTTTTAGCAATTCCTTTTTTTATGGTATCAAAGCGTAGCCTAACTGCCAACGTCTTTGCCTTCCTAGATCGTTTCGCCTTGCAATATCGCAAGGTTCGGTCACGTCTTTGCCTTCCCATATCACGATTGTATCACACAACCATCCCAGATCGCAATCGCACTACCAACCCAAATCGTGACGGATCAATCCGCTCGTCGCCTTCCCAATATCGCAATTTTGTCACATCTTTGCCTTACCCAATCGCGACGGTATTGAATGGGTCAATAACGTCGTCGCCTTCCCAGCAAGCTCTGATTGTGACTGTCTCGCAGGTTTCAGTCACAATGGTGCGATATCATACGATCGGTCACATCATCACCTTCCCGCAAGCTCTGATCGCTAATGTATCGTAGGATTCCACGTATGTTGCGATCCCAAAATTGCTTTCTCGACTATATCACAGGGAATTCAGGCAGGAGAGGGCTTCTGTGGTTTGCTGCAATTGGAAGAAAGTCAAGTGTAATCAATTCAGGCAGGAGAGGGCTTCTGTGGTTTGCTGCAATTGGACGAAAGTCAAGTGTGATCTATGATTGAGGATGTTAGGAGAGGAGATGGTGCAGTGGGTAAAGGATTGGAGCATCTGGGTAACATAGATCCTGAAGTCCAAAAGGTCTTGATTGAACTCATATAGGGAGCTAGCATCTTGAAGAGAGCCACTACCCCAGCACATGCTCCGACGTACAACAACAACAACAACAACAAAGCCTTAATCCCACTACGTGGGGTCGGCTCCGACGTAGATGAAGCTAAATCTCACTCATGTGTTGAAGCTTGATGGACCGATCACGTATCTGAGTTGATTGCATTGGATCGATTGCTCTAGTACAGAAGCGACTAAAGGGATATCTCAAGAAAGTCAAAGTTGAGCCAGAGGGTGACGATGTTAAAGAGGATGAGAGGAGGATCACACATATCTTACTTTATAAATGGTTTCTCAACTCGATGGTTCTATCGATTATCTAATCAGTATATGATATTCAAAAGGTGAGGGACTTCTGGCAGAACTGAAGAGGATTTATGTTGGGACATAGAATGCATGAGAATGTTTCAAATTCAGCATGAGATGAAAGCAGTGGTACAGGTTGATAAATTGATTCAGGAATACATCATAGATTTGGTATGTTTGTGAGCAGAACTTAATCACTTCTCCTCAATGTCGAGTTGTGCCAGTCCAGGAAAAGGGAGATCTTTACACAGATGAGGACTATACAGTTGTTGGCCCATGTGAACCCAGCCTTTGATCAAAGGAGATCAGCCCTCCTAGCTCAGGTGAATATCACCTCACTGGACGAGGCCATTGCTGCAATGAACAAGAGAAGAGTCGCATGAGCTACACTCTGAGCCGAGTGGACTTTTGTATGCGCAATCAATTTTTGTTGCCTTGAGCTCAAGTATGATAGGTGTCCAAGGGGAGACTCGCAAGTGTTGCAACTGTGATGAAGTCAGATATTTGGGCAAGACCTGTCCTAGGCCACTTAAGGAAAGAGAGACAAGTTGTGATAGTGGTCGTGGTGGTAGAAAATGTGGAAAAAGGGACTTCCGAGCAAATCTAATGGTAGCAGAGCAGAGAGAGACAAGCGTGGTTTTTATCAATGAGGATCATGAGTGTCTGAAGCTGTTGAAGAGGTGGCAGAAAGTAGCAGCAGATAAGCCTGAGAAATGCTTCCAACCAGTCATCATCAAAGGTATTGTCATTTATGCTCACCCTGACAAAGAGACTTGTGATACACATGCTTTTGTCTTTATTTCCACCACTAATTCATTAGAATAAATAGTAGATTTGAGTGTATCTCGACATTTGATAGATACAGCAATAGAGTTTTGTTCCTATATTCCTTTAGCAATACCAAAGAGCATCCAAACTGTTGATGACGCATCACAGCCAGTAGTTGCTAAAAGTACAATGAGAATTACCAATTATATGACTTCGTCAAAAATTTTGCATGTTCCTTTTTCCATTAGTGTCAATATTATCCCATTAAATTGTTTCTTTTGATATTTTAAGGTGGACCTCCAGGAGAAAAAGATGGGTCAGACACTTGGGACTCGAATGTGGCATAGCGGACTCTCATACTTGGATCGGAAGCTGATAGATTCAACTTTGACATTCATGCTAGAAAGCGATGTAGGAGAATCCGGGAATCTAGAGGATGTGTTGTTGCATCATAGACGCATGGGAAACTCTTATTTTAGTTTATTGAGCAAGTTATATACTTCTTTGTATGAAAAGGTAAATAAACAAAACTTGTTTGTGATGCTTGTAAATTTGACGAGCTTACTTGGAGCTTTTATATCAGCTCTGGGTATAAAAGTTACGGCGGTTTTGACTTTATTCATTCTGATTCTTGGAGACATTACTCTACAATTTTGATCATTGGTTATTGATATTTAGAGAGTTTTATTGATTACGTCTCTCATGTTACTTAGTTATATTTGATGTAAAATAAGGGTGATGCCTCAGCTTGCTTTAAGAACTTCCACAAGATAATACAGGCTCAATATGGTGCAATAGTGAATGTATTGAGGTATGATAATGGGACAGAATATACAAACAAAGTATTTAAGAAATACTTATCAGCCCAAGAGATAAAGCATCAGATCACATGTCTATACATACCGACACAAAATGATGTAGCAGAGATTAAGAATAGACTTTTTCTAGAGGTTGCCCAAAACATAATGATAGTAATGAATATTCCAAAGCACTTATGAGGGGTAAGCAGTTTTGACAGCGATCAACAGGATGGCATCGAGGGTGTTGGAATCGAAGTCACTTGTCTGATATTGAAAAGAGATTAGTGAGATCATCTCATTGAAGGTATTTGGACATGTATGTTTTCTGAAAGATAACAAACCATCAGTAGGGAAGATAGATCTCATAACTGTGAAAAATGTGTTCGTAAGTTATTCTGTTAACCATAAGGAGTATTTTTGTTGGAGCTTGTTAGAGAAGAGACTGTTTGTGAGAATGGGTGTATCATTTAAAGAATTTGAACTGCACTACACCCAGCAGTGATCTCACCATTCAGTGACTTGCCTAATACTAGAGATATGAGGCAAGGCGGGGTGAGTACCAATGGTGAGAAAGTGGTACACGTGGGAGCAATGCCTTGTCCTGTGAAGTTGGATGACTCAGTTGAGAAATCAGAAAAAAAGAAGAGTGAACCCAGAAGTAGTGGGATTCAAGTTGAAGGTGAGCTAAAGGTGTACACGAAGAAGGAAGCAAAATGAGGGAATGGTTCCTGCAGTGCCACTTGTGCTAGCTAGTATGTCGTCTTGATCTTTCGCGACTCTTAAGACATCTACACCATCCACCTCTAACTCAGAAGTCTCTGGTGATGCGATTCCCCCACTTTTTTCTTCTAACCGCCCAGCTTTAAAAAGGACATCTCGCAGCAATGTGAGACATCCTCTCAAATGTTTTTGGAGAGAATATGACATTGCTAACTTTGTTTCATATTCTAACATATCACATTTACATGGAATATTCATTGCATCTTTGGACATTGTCACTATACCCAAGTGTTGGTAGGTTGCTAGCGAGGATCTCAAGTGAAAAGCGGTCATGCATGAAGAGCATAGGGCTCTCGCTAAAAATAAATATGGGCGAAAGTGACATTAGCAGCGGGAAAAAGACAGTTAGGTGCAAGTAGATCTTACCAGTGAAGCAAACTCTATAAGGGAAGGTGGAGAGATACAAAACACGACCGGTGAAGAAACGGTACTGTTAGACATATGACATTGACTATAATGAAACCTTTGCACCAATAACAAAGATGATCACCGTAAGGACACTAATTTCTCTTACAATGAATGGTGGGTAGAGGTTACACCAACTCAATGTGAAGAATGCATTTCTTCATGGCGAGTTACTGGAGAAGGTTATATAGAGATATGACCAGGATTTGGTGCAGTCTAAATAGTGACCAAGATGTGTAGGCATAGGAAGTCACTATATGGCTTGAAGCAGTCTCCTCAAGTCTGGTTTGACAATTTTATAAAGATTATAATGAACATGAGATATAAGCAGATTAATGCAAATAATACAGTGTTCTTTCGACAATATGAAGGTTACACCACTATACTTGTATATATTGATGAAATCATTATCACCCGTGATGATGAGTAGTGTTGTCAAAAAAGCTCATTATTAGTGAACTGTTCGTGTTCGACTCGCTAGGGAGTTCATATTCTGTTCGTTCAATAAGCAAACGAGCCAAAGACAAAAAAAAATTTTAGTTCAGTTTATAAAAGAACCAAAACACGAACTGACATGTGTTTGATTGTGTTCAAATCGTTATTGTACAAATTAGAAAATAATTTAAAATAACTATATATAAAAAATTATACCTATAAACTAAAAATAATTTGAAATTTATTAATTTAGGAAAAATAAAACTATACTCATATATATATATATATATCCTATATTGATATAAATAATTATATATAATAAATTTTAATACTAAATAAGTAGTAACTAATATATTTATAAGTTTAAATATCTTATCTTAATATTAATTATATAATGTATTAATATATATTATATAAGTATACATTAAGACTCAAAACCTTAAAATCCTATTCTCTTCGCATTCTCTCGCGTTGGCTGTGCCACTTGGGAGAAACTTCAAGCGAAAGCTCTTGATCTCGGGTTAGGGTTTTTCTTAATCAACGACAACGTCGATTTCCTTCGCATCTTTCGCCTCCTCGCTGGAAAAGGAGTAATCGTCTCTCACTTTCTCTTGCTTGTAAATGCAGTATCAAGCAAGTATGTTAAGAAGTTTGGTGAGCTGGTCTATTTGATTTTTGACTGATGGATATATATGATTTTTGTAGCTTTGTAAATTCTGGATGAGGATTATTTGTTCTTAATGTTTTCAGGGAAACTAAAATAGTTAAAGTTTGTAAGGTTTTATTTCTTTTTTTTTATGAATGTTATTTCTAATATCATTAAAATTTAACTATAGTTGTAAATGTTTGTTGAAAAATATTTCTAGTATTTGAAAGAAATTTGAATGTCTTTTCATCAGGTATGTTTTGAGCTCATTTTCATCTTGATTTTCATTTTTTTATTATTGTTATTTATCCTTTTGTATCTCTTTTTTCATTGTCCTGTTCTGCTTTTGTTTATGATTTTCTTTTTCACAGCTCTAACCGTTTTCAAAACGCATAAGCTTTCAAAACGCAGTTTACACAAACAGGTGAGGTGATTTTTCAAAACGCCGCCGCACCAAATTAGCTGCCCCAAAAGAGAGTTCAAGATGCCTTTTTTTTATTTATTAACAAGAAAAACCAAAAAAAGCATGAAAAACAGAACGTCTACCAAATCGTAAGGCTAGACCTACTTCGAAACAAAAATGAGAATTAAATTGAGTGGCAACTTCAGATCTATATATTCAGTTCACTACAATCCCTCTCTGCTAAAAGAGTAGCAACACGAATGGAATGAAATTCAAGATGAAAAAATGCAATATGCAATCAACAAATAGCACCGCCAAAGGGCAGTGCGAGTTAATCATATTCAGCTCCCGGAACCGAAAGTATAGATTTTTAGAAAAAAAGATGTTTAGGATCGGATCATGAGGAAATCATCCAAGTGAGATGTGTTACAATTTGTAAACTCTACAATGATTTGCAACATTGCTAAGCAGCAAGAGGAATTATAAGTAGCTTCCTATACAACTACAGAGCAAGACTATATAAAGGAGGTAATTAGCACAGTGGTAGTGGAGAGGACAGATTGCAGTGAGCTGATTCTGTAACTAAGTTATGGAAAGAACAGTGGTAGTGGAGTGTTTGTTATGCTGCAGATTTTTCTGTTATTAAGATAAACATTAACAAAAAATTACAGTAAGGGAAACCCTGAATATGATAGTATATTTCGGAATCTAAAAAATTACAGTAAGGATCCTCCTAACCGTCGCCCGAAATATTAGGCTATTTGGCAGGAACGGCCCTAAACAGTTACCGCGACCGCCGAATTGACCCCAAATATATTAAGCCTGTTTCCGCGAACGACAGCTGCCTCGACCTCGGAAGTCACTGCATTCTCCGACAACTCAACTCATCTCTCTCCGAGCATGGAACAAATCATCGAGTATGATTCCGTGGTTGCTGATGCTCTTTTCGGCTTCCCGGACTCGCCACCTTTCCTTCCGCCCTTCTCCGACTCCACAATCCTCACTTTCCCGCCCCCGCCGCCATGCGACATCTCCTCCGTCCCTCACAGCAGCCCCAAACGCCACCACAGCGGCTCCGACCTCTACATTCATGACTTTCCACAGCCGCATTTTGATTTTGAAATTCCCGATTATGATCCCACATTGTTTGCCGAGTTTGAGGCTCCGCAGCCGCCCTCAATCGCCATGGTTGCGCCGTTTGCCCAAGGTGTTGTTGGCTTGTCTGCGCAGAGTATGGCTGCGAGGGGAAGACGAAAGCGAATCAGCGAGAAGATGCTGGAGCTGGGCGGGCTTGTCCCCGGCGGGAACAGGAGGAACACCGCCCCCGATGCTCCTGGCTGCCTTTAAATATGTCAAGTTCCTTGAAGCTCAACATGGCGTTCTTCTGCTCATGGATTCCCTTCCAGTTCCAGTAAGATCATTTTTTGTTGCTATTTATTCAATTACAGTATGATTTATGCTTCTCGGCTATGGGGAGTCAACTAGGCAAATTGACAATTTAATAGTTTTAGTTATATTTTACAATTGCGGTTAATAAAATATATTATTAATAAATTGATGTTAATGTGTAGGTGTGCAAAAGTATGGAGCATTTGTTGGGATCTATGGTTGTCCAAGAAAAATTGTCAGCTATGGGACTGTGTGTGGTGCCAAAAAAAATAGTAGATGAATTTGTGGATGATCCCCAACTTAATCTAATATGTTGATTTCGTGATCTACATGACAAGTTTATTGAGTCTACTGAAGTTGGAAAGAAATTGATTTTACTTTTTTTAGATTTTCAGTCGGTCAAGTCCTTTGTTTTGTAAATAGTTAATTTTATTTTTTTTTATTTTTTTATTATTTTAGACATTAGTGTTTGTAGGATTTACTTTTTCATTTGAATCCGAAAGAGATATAGGTGTTCTTCTTTATGTTGAAATGCATGACTTTAATTTAATGGATATAGATATATAAAAGGATCAAATGCTCAAATCCTTTATATACGTGTGATTTTTGTTATATATAACTAAATATACAAATGAATATCATATCTGAAATCAATTTTATAATTGAAAAATAGTGTCCAGCATTGTAATTCCAATATTTTTCATTTTCTTTATAATAGTATATAGAATGGCAACAATTACTAGTTCTAATTTTACACTTTTTGAATTTTGATGTCCAAATTTTACTATTGTTAGACCCTGATTTTTCTATAAGTTAAGCGAGAGTAAGAGGCTAGAAATAATAGCAATATAAGACTCAAATATATGTGATTATATATATATATATATATATATATATATATAT